GCGCCTCCGCCGCCGTCACCGTCTACGGTGGGCCCCCGGCGCTGCAGGGAGGAGGGCTCCGGTCACAGGGGGAGGCGCTGAGGTCCCGTTGGTGGGGACGTGTGGCTGGGGGTGGACAGAGGCCGGGAGCCAGGTCCAGGAGGGCCAGACTGTGGCTTGACGGGGAGGGGAAGGGCAGGGTTCCAGAGGCAGTCGGGGAGCCCAGGGGCATGCCTGGCCAGAGGGGTCGGACGAGCGGTGGTCGGCAGTGGATCAGGGCTCTGCACAGGAGAGGAGGGGACAGGAGCCCAGGGGCATGTCTGGCCAGAGGTCGGCAGTGGACGGGGGCTCTGCGCAGGACAGAGGGGACAGGATGGGAGTCTAGGAGAGCAGCAGACCCCGCACTGCTCAGTGCCCATGGTGGCCGCAGAGGCCTAGCAGCTCCAGGGACCCCAGGAGCCGGCAGAGGGCGGGCCACGGGACTTGCCCCGAGATGGATCTGGGCCGGAGGAGCAGGTGTCGGCCGGGCTGCCCTGAGGGCCTGCAGCACTGACGAGAAGGGAAGACCGGAGGAGTGCCAGGCCTGGGCCAGCAGGCACGCCATGGCCTCCCGGGGCTGCGCTGCCAGCACAGCCGCCCGTCTGTCTCCAGCTCACGGCCCCTCTGCCCTCACGCCCCGCCATGCCCTCAGCCAGCATGCCCAAGGAAGCCCCCGCTCCCTGACCCAGCCCTTCTCTGTCCGGCCAGTGAACGGTGGGTGGTCGACGTGGACCGAGTGGTCCGTCTGCAGCGCCAGCTGTGGGCGCGGCTGGCAGAAACGGAGCCGGAGCTGCACCAACCCGGCGCCTCTCAACGGGGGCGCCTTCTGTGAGGGGCAGAATGTCCAGAAAACAGCCTGCGCCACCCTGTGCCCAGGTACCAGCGGCCGCCACCTCCCGCATCGCTCCTCACCGCGCCATCTCCGTGCCCTGGCTCCATCGCGCCCACCAGCCTGCCCCCCCATGGCTCCATCCCACGCAGGGCCAGGCGCGGTCCGAGGCGGGATCAAGGTGCGGTGTGTGGTCAAAGTCCAGGCTTGGGATCGACAGGGGCCAAGTCACAGGGTCTGAGGAGCAGACAGGACAGGGTCTAGGGCTCAGCCCGGGGCTGCAGAGCCCACTGTGCCCGGGTCAGAAGGCCGAGGAACAGGAAGACCTCCTCAGCGCGGGGAGAGCCAGGCAGCCCCTGGGCTCGTGCGCGCCCCCCTCATTGGCATGCGTCATCCAGCTGAGCGCCGGGGCAGACAAGGTGCTGGGCTGGCCCTGGCATGGCCTAGGGTCCCGGCAGCTCACCCACCTCGTCCAGATGCTCAGCAGGGCCACGCTGGCACACCCAGCTGGCTCCTGGCTGACCGTGCTGCCTCTGCTCTCTCGCCTAGTGGACGGCAGCTGGAGCCCGTGGAGCAAGTGGTCGGCCTGTGGGCTTGACTGCACCCACTGGCGGAGCCGCGAGTGCTCCGACCCTGCGCCCCGCAACGGAGGCGAGGAGTGCCAGGGGGCCGACCTGGACACTCGCAACTGCACCAGCGACCTCTGCGCACACAGTGAGTCCTCGCTGCCCTCCCCGGGGCTCCCTCCGTGGCTAACCCACACAGCTTTCCTCGCCTCCAACCCCCACGCCTCCGAGATGCCCACAGTGAGTCCTCGCTGCCCTCCCTTGGGCCCCTTTTGTCAGCCATGATTGGTCCTGCTCAGCCCGGGCAGTTGAAGGAGTCGTTCCCAAGCCACTGGCCGAGCCCCTGTCCGAAGCTCCGGCCTCGGGGGCTTCCTCCATGGCTAACACTCACACATCTGCCCAGCACCTCCACCACCGCCCCCTACGCCTCCCGAGACGAGCACGGATTTGAACCTTGACTCTCACACACCCAGCTGCCCACACTCACCTAGCACCTCCCCACGGCATCGCACCTGCCGTCCCCTGTGCACACACGTCCTGTGGGGGCTCCAGGCTGCTGAGGCCTGTTAATTATAAGGCCATAACTAACAGTTAAAGATCTCTGCTGGGTTTTTTCCTAGCACACACCCTCCCCCATTCTTTCAATTAAAAACCTAATTATCTGTGTCAATTCTTTCCTGATGGACATTTCTCCCATTATGCAAACCTTTCTAAAATCAATACAGCTTCCCCCAAGCCGTCAATCACCCCTCCCCATCCCTGTCCAGGCCTAGGGGAGGCAGACAAGGAGAAAGACCTTCACCCTGCTCCCGGCCGGAGCCTGATCTGGAACCAGGCAAGAAGCAGATCTGCTGTGGGGATCCCCAGGGGTCACCTGCAGCCCCAGCTGCCCTGGTCCCCGTAAGAGCAGGCAGGTGCCAGGACGCCCACCCCAGGAAGTGGCTTTCCCCTCCTCATTCTCTTGACAGTAGCCTCAACCTGAACCCCGAGCCCAGGAGGGTCGCGCACGAGGAAGTGGCAGTGCAAGCCTGGGGTGCGGGCGTGCCACTCTGCGCTCCCGCTGTGGCCTCACTGCCACCAGTGTGGATGCCCAGCGAGGGGACCACCCTCCCGGGGCACACACGGCCCGCCCCCTCAGCCTCCTGCACCCCTCCCAAGGCCACGCTCTCTCCTGCAGCTGCTTCTGGCCCTGAGGATGTGGCCCTCTACGTGGGCCTCATCGCTGTGGCCGTGTGCCTCATCCTGCTGCTGCTGGTCCTCGTCCTCGTCTACTGCCGGAAGAAGGAGGGTCTGGACTCAGACGTGGCTGACTCGTCCATCCTCACCTCAGGCTTCCAGCCCGTCAGCATCAAGCCCAGCAAAGCAGGTGAGGTGCCCCCACCCGGCGCTCCCGCCTCAGCCCTGGAGCGGGACCCCCCCACCCGCCACGGACTCCCTCGGTGTTGCCCCCTGAGGCTGTCTTTGTCCCCACAGACAACCCGCACCTGCTCACCATCCAGCCAGACCTCAGCACCACCACCACCACCTACCAGGGCAGCCTGTGTCCCCGGCAGGATGGGCCCAGCCCCAAGTTCCAGCTCACCAACGGGCACCTGCTCAGCCCACTGGGCAGCGGCCCCCACACCCTGCGCCATAGCTCGCCTGCCTCTGAGGCCGAGGAGTTCGCCCCCCGCCTCTCCACCCAGAGCTACTTCCGCTCGCTGCCCCGCGGCACCAGCAACATGGCCTACGGGACCTTCAACTTCCTCGGGGGCCGGCTGATGATCCCTAACACAGGTAGGGAGACCCCGGCTGACGGGCCCTGACACAGGTAGGCAGGCCTGGAGAGTCCAGGAAACCCCAAGAGGCAGGACCAGCCCCTTTCCTTCCTGGAGGGGGATGGAACACCCAAATGTTCCACTGTGCCCTCGGCCTCACCCTGAGTGACCAAGCCAGAGCAGCAGGAGAGGGCACAGGGCTCTGGGAAGCCTGGCACGTGGGCGGTAGGGCTGTGGCCAGAGCAGTCCCGCTCGTTGCCTGTGGGCGCTTTGTTTACACAGATGGCCACGCCCGTGCCCAGATCCGAGCGGGCCCAGGGGCCAGCCCCAAGGAGCTCGAAAATGCGTGAGCACAAAGGGTGGCCTGGGCATGGCACAGGCCAGCCTGGGGAGCCTGCACGCTGGCCCCAGCCTCCCCACCTTCCCTCGCAGAGCTCCTCTGACCAGGCCCTGAGACAGGCACCTCCCCAGAGAACCCGGGAGCCATGGCCATGGTGTGGCCGGCTGCCCACGCAGAGAGCCGGCAGCTGCTCCGCCCTCCAGCCAGCCCTGTGTCCTCTGTGGGGCGCCCTCCAGTTCCCTGCTCCAGTCACCCAGTCCATGGTGTCGCGTCCCTGCAGATGACGCAGCCCTCTGTCCCCTGCAGCCCCCGGGGGCAGAATCGTGCCCAGCTGGACGTCTCAGTCTCCTCGTCCCTGACAGAACCATCTCCCACCCTCCTCCGTGGCCTCCCCAGCTAGGCCAGAAACTGGGGGTCCCTTGCCCTCCCACTCGCCCCCACATGCCCTCAACCCCACCTTCAGCCACACACATCCACGTCCTCCCTCCTCGGCTCTGCCTGCCACCACTCCTGGCCACAGCCACACGCCCTATCTGCTTCACTGACAGGCCAGAGGTGACCATGTCCCTGCCCTCTGGACCCCTCCCGGGGCTCACCACCGCCCCTGCCAGCCCCGTGACAAGGCCAGAATGCCCACCCATGGCCGCGCTCACACTTCTGCATACGGCAGCCGTGGTGTGCTGAGCCGCCCGGACGTGCCACCCTGCCTGCTGCTCTGTCCCTCCCGCTGGCCTGCCCACCCCCTGCCCTCTGCC